ATGTTAGGAGACACGGGCATAGATCCCGTCTAGTTGGAGCGCCAAACAAGCGCTGTTGCGTGCCGGCCGTCGTTTCCCGTGCGGCCTGACCCGGGGGCGGAGTGCATGAGACTAACCAGCCGTATGCACCCGCCCCCCGCGCTGTGCTTCGGCCCTGGGCCCCCGGCTTTTCAGCCCACAGTGTAATCAACGTCATACATACATACATACATACATACATACATACATACATACATACATACATACATACATACATACATACATACATACATACATACATACATACATACATACATACATACATACATACATACATACATACATACATACATACATACATACATACACACATACATACATGCATGCATGGATCCATACATACATGCATGCATGCATCTATACATACATACATGCATGCATACATACATACACACACGGCTGAAAGCTAAGGCGCTAAGTGGCAAGGGCACACACACGCACCCGGTAAGGTTCCTCTGGTCCGCCCCAAGCTCCACCTCACGGTGCCGTACATAATCCCGCAACCCCTCCCTAAGCCGGCACAGCGGGTGGCCGGTGACCAGGTACCAAACTACGACATGTACGGAAATATACCCATTTCGGTGCAATACTCAGCATGTAAGGTAGATGAAGGATTAACTTTATATAGAATCTCAAGAAGCTCACGCCCCTTTTGCTCCTGACAAATATCTCCGGGCCCCCTACACACACTATAACATACGCCCCTCCACGGCGCTCTCAACGACGTGGACGTAGCGGCAGGAAGACACACACACACACACACACACACACACACACACACACACACACACACACACAACACGGGCTAAGTTTCACCCGGGGGCAACAGTAATGTTGCGCACGCATAACAGTATAAGTGCACATATATAAACACACCTGTGAGGAGAGAGAGAGCAGTTAAATGTGGCATATGCAAACGTCGGCGATCTCCTTCACGAGTACAACATGTACGGACATGTACGGATGTACATACATACGGACGTGTATACGAATATGCACTACCAAACGGCCACTTCTCAGCCGAGCACCACATGTAACATAAACAGTCCAAAAGAACCCTCCAAGTACCGAAATAACTGTACCGTACAAACTTCGTGCGGTACAGTTTATAGGTACGGGATTGAATCCCGTACCTACACAGCACCCGTACATGCATTTTGCGCTATCCCGGAAGGAGAATTCGTACAACCAACTCTGCAACAGCTCCCAACTGTAAATCGACACTGACGGGCTAACTGCTCAACCATGCACGACATACACATACATACATACATAAATACGGCTAATGCACATCAGCAAACAAACACAAGCACACACACATGTTGACAAAGGTCTCTTCTCTCCTCGATGTGACGGAGTTAGTCCCAATACGCGACTTACTGTTAGCGCTAACAACCGGCCCTCATGACCCCTCCGGCGCTCACGGATGGCCCCCGCCCCCATTTGTCCGTGGGAACTTATAACTTGCTGCAGTACGGCTTATGTGCCTGCTGTTGATAGCAGCCACCAAGCCGTTCCACCCCCGCCGTTGCCACCCCCACATCACCTCTAAGCGCCAACAGCCCACCCCCCACCCCCCGACCCACCTCCCGACCACCCGTGGGGCTGATACCAAAAGATACGGATATATATACGGACATCGACATGACGCGACGCTAGCGAGTTGACCTTGACAGCACCAAACGTGGCTGTATTATATTTATGTTATAATACGAGAAAAGTGTTGATTATGGAAATCCGTTACATCAACGGCGAATCTGCCGCACAATCGGCAATCGCACAGCACGAAACATTATTGGAACTAACTGGTTTCCGTACAATCAACAACTACAACAACAGCAGCACCTATCTCTAGCAACACCCACACCCACCCGCTCCCCCCCACACCCACACCCACACGCACACGCTGCACAGTGCAGTGCAAGAGAGGGGCGAGGCAGGTGTGGGTGCCGACTGAGGACATGAACAATTCTGGACCTAAGGACCCTAAGGACAGACCCAGGCATGGCCGCGGATGCAAGTGCGCATGGGCAAGCAGAGCAAGTGTGCAGCCGGTCCCGTCCTCTCGTTGCCAAATTAGGCAACGACAGGAAAAAACCGTCTACAGGACCTTGAAATCGTACCATCGGGCGCGGGAGGTATGAGGCGATGAGGCCTGCTCTTTTAAGATCTACGTTGAGAAAAGGAAAGAAAAGAACAGCCGAAAAAGAATCGAAATGGAAAGTGAACTTTCCAAATCGTCCTCCTTTCGTTCGTACGAGAATGCGCGACGGTGCATTTGTGTGATCTCGGATGCGAGATCTCCGTAAAAAGTACGCCGTACTATGCGCCGCATTACCGTACCGCGAGCCGTACAACGATCCAACAACCTCTGTTGGCCAAACTGTTAGTTGACTGGTGGCTTTCCGGTTGCGCAAGTCAGTAGTGGTTGAAGGGTCCCTTTTATGATATGCAACACGATACACATACACACGGCCCGTGGCAGCAGCAGCAGCAGCAATAGCAGCAGCAGTAGCAGCATAGTTGGCTGCGACCTACCTAACGCACATTTGGAGCACTTGGGCGGTACATACACCACCTCCTACAACACCACTGTTCGGTGGTACTGCACCCCACGCTATGCAAAGCGGGCGCAGCGCCCTTCCCAACAAAGCCGCCGGCGGGCATTGGCCCTCCACTAAGCGACAACGAAACACACACATACATACATACACGCATACATATACACACGCACATACTACGTGCATACATACACACGTATCGAGACACTATAGATGCGCGTCTTTTTGACAAAAAGCGGCGCTTCCCTTCTCAAACAGGGAGACCCCCTCCACATAGCCACACAAAGAAAAAACACAGCACACATTGAAGACGACAACGCGCCACAAAAAACAAGTATATGACCGAAGCAGGCAGTGTCAAGTTATGGTTAAAATGAACCTCGAACCTCATGTGTCTTTCTCAACATGAGAAGCCCAGACACATATACGAACGCACATACATGTATACATATAACTCTCCGCGGGTACCGCATGTTGGCGGTGCTGGTGGCTGTGGCGGCGTTAGTTATGGTGGTTGGCAGTTGCATGGCTGCAAAAGGTATTTGTAGTTAACAGTTAGTTAACTTCTATTGTGCGCGTTTCCTCGAGCGCTGGCTCGAGTCGGTTGTACGGCGCCGTACGGTGCCGTACGCACGGTTTTTTTACCGCAATTCACGAGCGCTGGCGGTTTGGAGAGAGCACATGAGCACATGAGCACATTTCCTTTCCCTTCCCCTTCCTCTCTCCTCAAAACCGGAATTTCTCTGCCACCTCTTCGCCCTGCCCACCCACCCCACCCAAACTGTCCACCCACCCGATCCCCACTTGGGAGGTCAACGCTGTTGCGGGTGAGGGGTGGACATGGTCAACGCAATCCTCTGGCTTTGTTGACTGTATACGAGCTCGTCACAGTAAGAGAGATGCTACGAAACCACGTAATTGTACGACATAACCCTACTACTACCAGTACTGATACCAGCAGCAGCGGCAGCAGCAGCAGCAGCGGCAGCATCAGACACACGCAGTACGGCAACCCTGATTCCAAAAGCACACGCACATACATACGTACATATATACAGCAGCCCAGGAGCAAAAAATTGCTTCTCGCCAACCCATCATCATGCTGCTGCTCCCCTTACAGGACATTTACAGACAAACAGACGCGACAAAACTCGTTCGGATATTCCCCACCCCACTATTTGGCCTTAAAGCATCACCCGACGCGGCTGATGCCGGTACGGCATTCGTACAGAAGATGTACGATCGTACATGGGAGGCCTCGGCCAGTGGATGCTCTGTGGAGTGGGGTCATGTAGTCAGCTACGACCCTTCCGCCATTGGGCGTTGTTAATCGGTTGGATTTGGTTATTATGGTTATTACCGTTATTAGCCCCTCGGGCCTGAAAACCCCCACCCATCACCCCCGTCACACCGCCGCCGGCCGCCGCGGTAACGACAGCGCCCGCCGCCGCCGCCGCCACCGCCGCTGGCTGCAGCGACGGCGGATGCGGCTGCTGGTGCTGGTGCAAAACAGCGGCGGCGGCGATGGGCGGCAGTACGACGCCGCCGCCGTTGGTGATGCCAGCGACTCCGCCGCCGCCGCTGCTGTTGGCGCTGTTGCTGTGGACGAGGCCCATCCCCCCGCCGCCGCCGCCGCCGCCATTGCCAAGGTTGATCAGATGCAGCGGCCCCGCTGCTTGCAACGGCTCCACCGCCGCCAGGTCCTTCACCACCAGCGGCTGACTCATGTAGCGTCGGGCAATTCGGGGGGACTCGATGACGCCCTTGTGGTGGTGGTTTTTAGTTACAAATACGGTTGAAAGACGGTTAGGCCGGTTAACCGGAAAAACAGTTCAAGGCTTGCGCGACACAGAATATACATACATACATACATACGTGGTGAGTGGGGGCATTGAGAGCCAGCCGTCTTGGTACCGCGGTAAAAAAAAAGGGGGGGGGGCCCGCGCCGAGTTGGCTACCATCCCATCCTTCTCCTCCTCCTGCGGTATCTTACGGAGGAGAGGCCTGGTCGCCGGTCTGGTGTCGTGTCGTGTGTGTTGTGTTGTGTCGTGTCAGGACCTCTCACCACGTTCGCGCACTTTTCGAGTTGGCCCCACCGCTATGTAGGGGGGACGTGGACACGATGAGAGCGGTGATATGCCCCCCTCTGCGGCTGATACCCCCTCTACGTGCTCTCTGAGGCTGTTCCGCACTACTTTCCGCCCGTAGGAAGAACTCCCCGGGTGCGACTTCGTTTCTGTTAAGGGACCCGTCTAGCTGGTGCGCTACCCCCCGGTAGGTGGGGAACGCTGCGTAGTGCCAGCCGTCGTACATCGTACGATGTGTCTGATCCGGAGGGGGCGGAGTGCACGAGAGACTAACCGGCCGTGTGCATCCGTCCCCCCCCCTGCTGTGTTTCGGCCCTGGGCCCCCGACTTTTCAGCCACAGTGTAATCAACGTCATACATATATACATACGTACATACACGCATGCTCGTTTTTCCACCTGCAGCCTTCACACGCTTCACTGACGTGCAACACACACACACACACACACACACATACACACACACACACATACACACACACATACACACACACATACACACACACACACACACACACATACACACACACGGAAGGGGACAGCGGCCCCCCTCACGCCCCTCCCCTTTTCCCCGGAAGGGGGGGGGGGGAAGTGCATGTCGGCGGTCTTGTTCGTTGGGGCAGCTGGGCAGCAGCCCCTCTGGCCTCAGCGTCGTCAGGCCCGGCAAGATATGCAAAACACACACACACACACATACACACACATACACACACACACATACACACACATACACACACACATACACACCTGCAATCCATCGGAGGGAGATCCCCCTCCGCCGCCATTGCTGCCGCCACCCCCCACATTCATAAGGATGGAGTTAAGCCGCGGAGAGTATCCCGACGGCTGTACGGATCCCGTCGACGGGTCGTACGGCAGTACGCCGTTGACGCTGCTCCGGGACCTCAGCCCCGGCGCCGGCAGTACGACACCGGCGGCGGCGGTTTCCAGATCCAAACCCGCCAACCCAGCATCGTTCCCGCCGCCGCAGCTGCCGTACCCGAGGCAGCTGCTGACGCGATGCCGCCGCGGCGCACCGCTGCCGCTTGAGTTGACGCGGAGGAGGCCGTTGACGACGACGGCGGCACTGCCGCCGCCACCAGCGGCCGTCAGATTGTGCGAGTGGTGGTGGAGATGTTGGGGGTGGCCGTGGAGGTGCGGGCCCTGCGGCGATGTGCCGTGGCCTCCACTCCCTCCGCCTCCCCCTCCCCCTCCCCCCCCCAGGAGCGACTCGAGCTGTATGTTCCGTTGCATCAGCGTTCCCATGGCGTCCAAAACCTACCCGGGTTTTAGGGTTTTAGGGTTTTAGGGTTTCGCGGCAACACAGGAGAGGCACACACACACAGACGAAAAGACAGACAGACAGACAGACAGACGTACCTGTGCCAACATGCCCCGCATCTCGCTCTGTTGCTGGCGGCTGCTGATCAGCTCCTGCCGTACATCCGCCAGTTCCACTTTGAGGCCATGCACCTGGTTCTGAGCGTCCATCAACAGCGACCGGACCTGTGATGCCGTACACAGCGACAACAGAGTTGTCGCAGAAAAGGCAAGTGTCGCACCCGTGTGACCGTGGC